CGGGACTGGTGTCTGCCTTTCCAAAGGGCACTCTAATCCTCTTTGCCCCCTTCCCCGCTTTCTCCCTAGACCAGCACACACACATACTCTCCTGGGACTCCATTTTATTTGTTTGCAAATGAAGGCAAGAAATGGAAAGAATGGAAAATGTCTTTATAGACCCTTCCTTTTTGGTCAGACAGCCAGAAAAACAAGTCAATTAATAAGCAATCAAATTTCCTTAATATTATAAATTGCTCAGGGAATCCTTGTAATCATTGATATTAGTTGCTTAAAAGGTTGAACCAGAAAAGAGTGAAGCAGCAGTATTTTTCTGGGAATATGCTGACACAGGATCTATTATACCAAATCTCATCAAAAACCAAATTTTTTAGAACAAACTTGAATCAGTTCAAACATCTGGGCAACTATACCTATAAGAGTTTTATAAAATGTCAGAAACTAAATCTTTCATACATTTTCTTATTCATTGAAGGCGCTATGAGCTGGGAAATAATAACTTGGAGAAAAGCAATCTTTATGAAATAAAAAAGGAGTCGAAAATGCACAGACTAGTTGATGATCCTTCGAATATATACACTGAAGCAGAATTTCCAGGGAGGGGGATGTGGAGCTAGAGAAGCTGTACTTTTAGAAGTTCCCCAGTGAGTCGGATGTGCAGCCATGGTTAGCTGGGAACCATAGATGCACAGCCTACCAGCTGCTCTTTGTCTCCATGGCAACAGAGGCAGAAGAAGCAAGCATTAACTGTGGCATGAAGTATTTAAGCTAATGTGAGTTTGCTTTTAATTACTAGATTTGCATTTGTCATTATAACCCTTTAGTGGATATCTTCTCCTTGGCCCCATGCCTAAGATTTGGGTAGCTTCCACCAGGTGAACACTAATGCTTTTTTTTTTTATCATAGATTTTTTACCTAGGGTTTTATCAATTATGCATAAAAGAAAATCATGTTAGTCAATTAAACTTTTTCTCTAGAGACTCATGTCATTAAAAATAATGGTATACAAAAATAACACATTTAATTGTAAGTATAAACAATGGAATAAAGTACAGAACAAGATATAAAGAAATATCAATGCCCGGGTACACACAGAAGAACATTATGTTCTAAGCCTCAACTGTTACAAACTGTATTTAATTTAACTCAGGTTTTTCTTACTGAGACTAAATAGGAAAACTAGTATATCTGATTTTATTTATAGGGCCAGAGTTCTTTATTGCTATACTTGTTCTCAAAATCCTTCCTTCTTTGAGGTTTTAGAAATAAGTATATTTTTCCTTTTGCAATATTGTATCCTTTCATGGAGAAATATTAATAATAATAATATAATACATGCAGTTTCCTTTATGTACTTCCTGTTCTAATTGCTTTGTCTCCTGCTCTCTTTTAACAAAAACGTTTATTTCTTCCACAGAATTTTCTTAGTGTCTTCTAGTTTTCTTTCTTCCTCCTAAGAGAAGCCACCTGCCTGAGTCAACCTGTTTCCAAACTTTATGTGCATGAGGCTTTGTAAAATCCTGTGATGCTATCTTTTGTTATTAATTATGATTAATAATAATGACAATAATAAATATTTTAATACATTCTCCAAACATTGTTTAATTTCATCTTTTCGAATCAGGAAGTGTTCCCTTGGCAACCAAATTATGTCCTCCTCCCTGGGTGGCATGATTCTGGTGTAAAAGTTATATGATGCAAACTAGCCAAAGATTATTTTTAAATTAACTCATCGTTTCCAAATAATTTACAACCTACTTCAGACCTATATATTTCTGTAAGACAGGAACCAAACATTTTTGCTGCCTAAGCATTTAAAAACAAAAATGAAAAAAATGAATTAAAAATTATAGTTGGGATGGGAAGGGAGAAGTTGTGTATATACAGTCCTTGCTTTGGATGGGGAATTAGGAGCTGCTCATTCATCTGACTTAGAATTTTGTTATGGCTTCCATGAGGGTTTGCTTTTCCATTTCAGGGGAGGCAGAGTCAAATAGACTGAGTGTTCAATGCGCCTGTGTGTGGGGGTGTACCCAGGTATATCTTGGGGAAAAATGAGCTTTGTTGTTTGGTAGTGGTTATGGATTGAATGTTTGTGTCCCCACCAAATTCGTATGTTGAATCTCTACCGCCCAGTGTGATAGTAGGTGTGGCTTTTGGGAGGTAATTAGGATTAGATAAAGTCGTGATGTTGGAGCCCTTATGAATGGGATTAGTGCCCTTTAAATGTCATGAGAGAGCTTGCTTCCTCTCTGCTCTCCACCATGTGACAAAATGGCCTGAAGTCAGCAGCCTGCAACCTGGAAGAGAGCTCTCACCAGAACTCGCCGATGCTGGCTCCCTGATCTCAGTCTCCCAGCCTCCAGAATAGTGAGAAATAAATTTCTCTTGTTTACAAGTCACCCAGTCTATGGTATTCTGTTATAGCTGCCCAAACTGACTAAGATAGTAGCCTTAAACTCACTCAAATCATATGGGCAGTACTGAAGAAATGATTTCATGTTTTTATAAATAACTTCAGTTTCCCTTGCTTGAATCCAATTAAATTATTCACAAAGGCTTTTCTGGAAAAGATGAAACTCTGGAGTTCAACCACTTTTCTCAACTGTGGACTTGAATAAGCAGGAGGATGAATAAAAAATGCTTCAAATCTATGGTGGTTTGTTCTAAACATGTAAAAGACAAGAGCATACATTCTTTAAAAAAATATTTTTTTTTTTTGCCATTTTTGGTGAGTAAGATTGGCCTTGAACTAACATCTGTTGCCAATCTTCCTCTTTTTTTTTTTTCTCCCCAAAGTCCCAGTACATAGTTGTATATCCTAGTTGTAAATCATTCTAGTTTTTCTATGCGGGATGCTGCCATAGCATGGCTTGATAAGCAGTGCATAAGTCTGCATCCAGGATCCAAACTGGTGAACCCCAGGCTGTCAAAGCAGAGTGTGTGAACTTAACCACTTGGCCATGGGGCCAGCCCCTAAAAAAACACTTTCGTATTGTTTTGTGAAACACTGTGAAAGTGGTATTATGCACATTATAGAAAATTTGGCAAATTGCAGTAAATGAAAAGTAGGAAAAAATTAAACTCAAATTCCACCTCCTAAAGACAAGCACAGTTAACATTTTGAAATATTTTCTTTTCTTTTTCTAGGAAGATGATTCTTTTAAAAAATCAATTTTATAACTCAGAAAGGCCTTATAGGAAGTAACAGCTATAGAAAAGTCGTTTCCTTGCTAATATATTAATATTTGGCAATATATATTTAAAGGTAAAACATAGTAAAAGGACAAGTCAGGAATGCTATATATAGCATATATATGTATGCATACATACATAGCATAAATAAAAATCAAGAATGCTAATCATTAAATGTTAAATGCTGTCCTTTAATTAACCAGACACAGAATTTACCCTTCACCAGAGATACCACTGCTAAAAAGCTGTCCTCAATGGACAGTCTGAAATACAGAGACTCAAAGATGTTTCTCCCAGAATTACTTATTGGGAAATTCCTAGCTAAGACTGTCATATCCATATGATTGACTATTACACAGTCACTAGAATTATATTTATAAGGATTTTTAAAAATAACATGTGGGGGGTCAAAAGGTAAAAACAAACAAAAAAGAAAAAATAATGTTAAATTTTCATGAACCAATGTTAAGCAAAAAAATGTAGATTTCAAAGACTTCTGTACAACATGATCTCAATTATGTTTTTACAAACTAGAGGAAATATGGTACCAAAATATATCTAAAACACCAAAAGAGTAGTTATATCTGAGTACTGGGATTATGAGTAAATATAATTTTTTTCTCTATAATTTTCTGCATATTCAAACATTTTCTACAATGAATATGTATTTATTTCATAATTGTGTTTTTGAAAATAAAAACAAGAACTATTACCTTGCCCCGTTTTCTGGGAACCGTACTTGGAACACAAAGGAAGAAATTAATAGCACAAGAATCCCTTCCTCAGAACGCTTCCTGTGTTTCTAATCACATGGCAGCTGTTTGCTCAATAATAGTCTGCTCTGAGTTTTATGGAAGCCACATTTTTTAACTGAGTGCTTTGAAGAGACTTAAGAACCATGTAGAAAGCAAAGTGGGGCCGTCTCTCCGGCGGGGCTAGCTTGTAACACAGTTTGAAATGTTTTTCAGGGATGGTTACAGCCCTCCCTGTAGTATCCGCCTTTCTCAGGAATCATGGTCCAGACACGGGGCTCCTGCAAGCCTGGGCATAAAAACTCACTCATGGAGGAAGCCCCGTGGGACCAGAGAGGGCCTGAGCTGTGCCCTCTTCACAAGGCTCTTCATCACGGCTGGGCCCTTCCGAAGCTTGTAGACACAGAATGACTCCAGAAGTTGGCCAGGCTTTTCTTTGCTTTCCTCCTGAGGAGGTGGAGCCTGAAAATGACACCATTTTTGATTGTGCAAAAGGTATGATTTGCTGAAGCCTCATCTCTGGGCTAGGCCTGCCTTCTCTTTTACGGCTCACATCACTGGCTCCAGAAGGCCTTTCCTTCAAGACAAAACCCAAAAAAGAGAAACCTAGGGCTCTTCCTTACATTGATGGGGACAGGTGGTCAAACAGAGAGGGAGAGACTTACACCACAAAGCATTAGTGGTATTAGAATAATAGAAAAGAATATACTCACGTTTTCTCACTGGGCTGGTGGGGAGGGAGGATGTGAGCAGGATCACGGGGGAAAGGAGCACGGGGCTTTTTCAGAAGTCCTTCAAGAACCTGGGCGACCCAGGCGGGGCATTTAGATTTTGTAACATCTGTGATCACATGTAAATCATCTGATCAACTTAACAAAGTTTCTTCAAAATAGGAGATGTCACATAGTTCTTGATTAGAAGAGACGCTGGACGTTCTCCAAGTTGGCTTGGGAATTGGGATTCAGAAGGCAGAGTTCAGGGGCTGGTTGTCGTTTATGAATCCTTCCCTCTTACAACAGGAAATGAACAAACCATAAACCAACCAACATATGAAAAAGGCGCTTCTATGTCCCTACGAGGAAGCAGGCACTCCTGTGGGCGGTGAGCCTTGGGGCTGACGCATTGCTCCCATGGAGCTAAACCAGCCGTTGCTGTTGAGAAATCACAGATAATTCATAATGGATTGGGGTTGTGCTGTGAGTGGAGCTGGAGGCTGGATTCCAGCCCTTGCCACCTCCCCTCGCCAGCTTGCCCCAGCCCTGCCTCCTTGAATCTACTTTCTTCCCACCCTCCCCAACGCGCCTTCCGTTCGAGGCAAGTCTTCCAGACCCAGGAACTGATTTTTCTGTCTTCTGGGACAGACCCATCTGATACCAGAAAAAAAACCCTATAGTTGCTGGGCCCTTACTCTACCTGCCTGGTCTCCATCCTTACCCGGTACCCACCTCTGCTCTTCCTGTCTGTTCTCAAACTCAGCGACGGCTCAGTTCCTACTCTGGTAACAGAAAGCGCATCCTGGGTGAATCAGCACCCCACTTACATTTCTTTTCTCCTCATTAAAAGGAGATGGGGAAAAAGAGAGACTTATTTATTAATTATAAATTTCAAAATGAAGCTAGCTTTAAAATTTTTCTGATTATAAAAGTTATACATTCTAATGGTAAAAAAAAAAATCCAAAGAATACAGAAAAATCATAAGAAGAAAGCAAAAAAAAAAAAAAAAAAAAAAGAAATCCACCCCATATCCTAACATTCATTGACAACCATGATGAACATTTTGGCTGACATTCTTCCAGAAGCTTTATCATCTGCTGCCTTCCTCCCCTGCCCGTGCCTCCACAGAACGCTCTCACCATTCTATGTTCTCAAATGCGATTACACATATACTAGATTCTTCTAAAATGTTTTTAAAAATTTAGAAACCTCAATCGTTTGTTCTTTAGTTTGTTTTCTTTTGCATTCAACAATGTGTCTCAGATTTCTTTTCATATTCGTGAATATAGAACCATATCATTATTTTTGTGATTGTATAGTATTTTCATTGTATGGTATGCCATAATTTACTGAAAAAACTTGATAGATAGTTCATTTGCTTTCGATTTATATTATTAGTACTCTATTATTTTTTTATAGGTAGTAGCAATAGAATAAAAATATGCCAACAGTATTTGTAGGCTTTTCCAAATATCTCTTTTATATGAATTTCTAGAAGCAGAATCAGAATTCAAAATATGTGCATTTAATATTTTGACTTACATAGCTAAACTGCTTTCCATTGAGTTCTTTTATTTGTTGATAAACTTCAATAATGGGCAAAGTTTACGGGGCCCCAGTAGCTACCCTCTTGGGATATGTTTCACAGTGTACAAGGCTGATTTATTATTTTCCTTCGAAAGACAGGTATACAGCTACTTTTCATGCAATATTTGTAAAGAAATTTGGTACAAGCTCGTGGGCAAGTCGATTCACTTTTCAAGGCTCTGCATGTCATCATGTGACTCAGTCCAAGAGCTCCAAAAGCCCTTCCATGCCTACCGTGTAGTGGTTTTACGATGCCAGGGGAAAAAAGCAGCAGCCAAATATCTTACTGTTGCCTGTCTTCCTTCTTAAATTTTATTTTTATTTTATTTTTTCACACTTCCAACTGGAGTTTTATTTTAGCCATATTAATCCTGGAAGGTTAATATCTATGCAATGTGAAGCCTCCCATCCTATCGTGACACTGTTATTGGATATTGTTCTTTATTTATGAAAATAGTGCATATAAAGTGGATTATATCTTTTTTTGCCCACTACCTACATGCCTCCCTCAGCCAGTAATCTAGGGCTGTTTACCCCAATAGTGCCTGCCTCACTTGTAGCAGTATACATATACTTTGATATACGTGAATATAAGCAAAAATAAACGTGTATATATACTATATATTACATATGTATGTTTGTACGTGTGTGTGAGTGTGTGCCTGTGTGCACACATGCAGCGTTGCCCATTGCATCTTCCCAGCAGCTGGCATGGTGAGACTGCTGGGGCATTTTGTTAAACTTGGTTCAGTGACTTGGTTCAAAGGAAGTCCACTGGTTATTCCAATTTTGCTCAAGCAGCCTCTTCTCTCAACTTATATATTTCATTCTATTCAGTCTCTCAGCTTCCTTGCCTAGCCAGCATCTCAAACTTGACATGTCTAAAACAGAACTCCTTATCTGTCCCACCCCCTCCCACACCAGCCGCTCCCACAGTCTCCTCCGTTTTGGTAAATGGCAAGTCCATGCTCTCAAGAAACACTTTGGTGTCATCCTTGCTTTCTCTTTCCCTCATACTGGGCAATTTTGTCTGTTCTGCGGGCAGACATGTCTTGTGTCTGACCATGTCCCACCACTTCCACTGCTACCACCATGGTCCAAGTCCCCGTGGATATGTATTTCACCTGGACAATTACATGAACCTTTAAAGTAGGTGCCCTGATTTCATCCCTGTTCCCCTCTAGTTTACTCTCCATAAAGCAGTTAGAATGATTTTTTTAAACGTCTTTATCAAGGTATAATTTATATACCATAAAATTCACCTGTTTTAGGTATACAATTCAGTGATTTTTTAGTGCATTTACAGGGTAGTGCAACCATCACTAATATCCAGTTTTAGAACATTTCCACCATGCCCCAAAGATCTCCTATGTCCATTTGCGGTCAGTCCCTATTCTTAACCCCAGCCCCCAGCAGCCACAATTCTGCTTTCTGTCGCTATAGATTTGCATATGGACTCAGAAGTGAGGGATCCCGGTTGATAACTAGCAATATCATTTGGGAATGGGATGCTGGGCTCTGACTCCGTCTGGGTGAGCCTTGTTCTACTAGGGCCAATGTGGCAAGGCTGGATGGAGAGTTAGTCACGGGAGACATCAGAGACCAGATCAGGGGTTTGAAAAGACATGTGGCACATGTACCCCCACATGCAACCTGTCCATACTCTCCTTTGCTGCTCTGTCAGTGAGCAGTGAGGATTCAACAGGCTGACTCAAGGGCCTGCAGGTCCAGGGAGGTAACTTAAACAGACAAGCAGGCCAGTGTATGTGAGACATCAGGGAGTGGTGGGGACTGTGGTTAATCAGAGTGCTCAGGCCCTGTCCCTCTGTAGCCCTAGGGGGAGGTAGGCTCAGGGTTTTCCAGATCTTCTGACTTTAAGACAAGTCTGAAATCTAGATTCCATGTGAAATCTTCTGTTTAAAAAATATTGACATCAAATTAAAACACTTTTTCAGACGTTGCAGCGAATACACTGTGCAGACAAACACTATGGGAATGAGGCTGTGTATGCACCCTCTGACAGGGTGGGAACTCTCGGTTAGAATGAAGTTCTCCAACTGTGCTGTATCACAATGCAGCCCACCCTCCAGGCTAGATGTTGCAAGGCGTCTTTTCCCTCCAAGACTGCAGTCAAAATCTTGTTTCCTCTGAATACAATTCTCCTTCTTGCTGGGTTCCTAGGCATGGTAGGTGGAGTTGGCAGGCAGTTACTTAGAATTTCTACTCAAGTGCTCTTTTGAAACAACTTTTTAATTAAAAAGTTAGATCCCCAAGATTCACCGAATACCTGGTTAGCCCGCAGTTCCATTACAAGCCTAGAGAAAAATGTCTGTGATTGTTTGTTGGTTTACTTTCTTATTTAGTTCTAAAGACAGACAGGGACACAAGTAACCAACAAGGGCTGAAATGAAGAGTGATGAGTGGAGGTGTTTCAGACGAAACACGTCCGGTCCCGAAGACTGCAGGGACCTAAGGCTGCAAATGGGCACGCTGCAGGGATGGCCAGTAATCTAGCTGGTCAGATGCGGACAGGGGAGGGACAGGCTGTGGCAGCAGTCCTAGGAGCTGAGAAAGACGGGGTGATGTCTAAGGGAAGACTCACACTGTCCTTTCTGTGGACTAAAAGAGGCGAGTAGATCAAGACAGAGCAAGAATGATACACGGCCAGGAGAGAACTCCTTCACTTCTCAGAAGAGGCACAAAATAAGGGTTAAACTTTGTTTCTAGTAGGCACTTTACCTCTTCTAGGACTCTTTTCTGGGGTACGGAAGGGTGGAGTATTAGCGTCTCAAAGAGGGTGTTAAGGAACACATCTGTTTTGTCTCCGTGTTTAATTTTCCTTTGATCACAGGATTAGATACATTTTATGGTGACAGTTATTTGCAGAGTGGTTAAGGGTGTGGGCTCAGGGCTGGGTCAGACTTCCTCCAGATCACGGCTCCACCACTTACTAGCTCTGTGGTCTTGGGCAAGTTTCTTCACCTCTTTGAGCCTCAGTTTCCTCATCTACAAAATGGGTATGGTAACACCCACTTTCCAGGGGTGATATGGAGATTAAATGCAATGATCCAAGTTCTGTGCCTGGCATGTAGTAATTGCTCAATAAATATTAGCTTCTATTACTGGTGCTGTTATTATTACCACTAGGTTAGAGTTGAAAGTGGCATTAGGTTTAACTCCATTATGTCAGAGATGAAGAAACTGACCCCCGAGATTGAAGGTTCCACAGCTGGTTCCTGGCAGAACCAGCCAGTGCAGCCCCTCGAGCTCTTTGCTCAAATTTACCACTGCCTGGGGGCAATCATTCTTGTCTCTCTGCCAGGTGGAATATTGGTATGGAGTTCCCTGCAGAGTTTCAAGGGAAAGAAATTACAGTTTACAAGCTCTGTGGGGCCAGGGACCACGTCTGTCTTGATCTCTCCAGTATCCTTAGTGCTTGCTACGATGTCCAGCATTTAGCAATGGGATATTTAATAGACAAACATGTGTGCATTACATGCAGCATGACTCAGCAAGGAGATGACAACAAACACGGCACAGTGGTGAGTGGCACCCATGAGCACTGACTGCTCCCTTGGGAGCTGTTTCTGGCCAAGTTTTCTCGTGTCTTTCCTGTGCTCCTGGAGCTGGTTGGACAGGGATTCAGGCAATTTACACAAGGGCCCATTGCGTTCAGCTCTCACATTCCTTCTTCCTGTTTTCTCCCACTCTCCTCTCCTCCCCGCTTTTCTTCTCTTCTTTCTCTTGCTCT